AATATCATTTTGCCCTCTGGCGTCAAAAAATGCAAGGATTTGCATCGCGGGCCAATAATGTTACTGGCAAAGAGTGGGTTAATAGATACGTATTCGAGGAAAGCTTCATGTAAATTTAGTTGACGGTTTCTTGGACAAACCTGAATCAGCGGAGTTAGTATACGTGGAATGGGAAAACATTCAAGATTTATAGGCGTGATATCCATGCAGATATTCCATCTAGTTAACCATCAAAATCATTAGATCCATACCAGGTGACAGCACAGCCCACTAATAGCATGTCACGAGGGCCCGAAGCAAATTCCATGGTGTAATATACATCGGATTACAATTTTGCCCATAGTCTGAACAGGGCCTTCCCACAAATAAGGCTAGATTAAATTGGCCACCACTTAAGCCTGCCAGTCAAGGCGTCTTTTGTTCCCTCTTCTCGTTGTGTTAGGCACCAGTGAATCCCAAGTTGTATCTGCTGGGTTGCATATTGCAATCAAATTCACCCTACTTCCGCAAGTAGTCTCCACCCTACATGTAAGTCAGCATTGAATCGATAGCTGTTTGCGATGATTAATCCAGTTCTTCATGCGCATTGTGAGGTTGAATGCCAAGGTATTGTACGGCACGTGCAGATGGGAAGTAAGTAGTGAGTAAGAGCGTGTCTAAAAAGTTTATGAGCTGAAAGAAGTATGGCTGGAAAAATAGGTGGTTTTTTTCGGATGAGTGCTGAATGCAAAGAAGGAACCATAGTGAGGGAGACTGAGGAAATAAATAGTCTGTCCTATCACATTGTGGCAAACGCACACAGATTCAGTATTATATGGCAAGTCACTGCGCCACATCCTTCAAATAAGTTGTCAAAATAACTGGCCTATCTCGATTTTAAATCTGTCGGCATTTTCTACTAGTTGCTATGACCTCACTGTTAATCAGCAAAGAGTGAGGAAACGGAAGAACTGGTAAGAGTTGAAGACAGCCAGCAGTCCGGAGAAACTCAGCAAAAAGTAACGGAAGGACGTATTCACCAGTAAAAGTGTTTAAGGAGAAATGGAAAATAAGTGAGACGCAAACGTTAGTTGGTAGATGTGAATGGTTCAACTGAAGCCAATTTCCTTAAGCGCGCGGGGGACTTAACATTATTCATCCCAGTCATATCTTTCTCACATTTTTCTCAGTTTAATGACGAAGAACAGTCGGCGGTCCTCCTTGAATAAGCTCACATCCAGTCCCCCCTCCATGGTCGGATTAATAGTTTTAGCTCAAGAAAGCAAAAGGACTTGCAGTTATGGTAATAACTATTCACTTCGAATGATCAATTATATGCTAAGTTCTGTGACTCCCGTCTTGCTGGTGGCTGTTGTAGAGGGCGCACTGTGTGTAATTCACTTTGACTACTGTTTACTTTGATGGATGTCAGTTGGTTGGGGGTAACTGGGAAGAATCTTGGCAGCTACACTGCAAAATTATCGATAGAATTCGGTCGCCACCTAGGATTGGTTAACATGAGATGAACAATCCTTCAGTGACCCGTAAATGTGCATCAAAGATATCCCCTGAACACATGTCCATCATTCATTCGCTTTACGTTCCCCTGCCGTGATCATGCCTTAGCACTCTCTTCCTGCAATACAGAAGGGATAAAGGCTATCAAGTTGGCGGTATTCACCTGTATGCAGTCATTAGGACGTGAACTATCTGTACATGTCACGTATACACAAATTTCTAACTTCCTCAAAACGAGTTCGGCTTGAAAATATACACTTGATGTCGTCAGTCGTATGCGCAAGCAACCAAAACTAATGCGCACCCCAAAGCCCCGAACAAACAGAATTCTAGTTTATAGGTGTACCCTTGGTAACATCACTACAGCTCACAACAAAAACATAGTTTATCTATTAGTTTTGACAACTGCATGATGATAGCATGGCAAACAGATTCATAAAGTATTCGCTGAAAGTATTCATTTAACCCGCTGACTAACCATTGTTTCATCATCTTCCATGCTTGTTTGCCCCAATCTGTGTTCTAGAGCCTAGCGAATTTTTGATGAGACTTGACAAATCGTCTTGTTGTGGTTTGAGGGATTTTGTGAGGTACTTGGAGAGGTTGTATAAGGGAGAATTCGCGGAACCCACAACCAGACGAGTTAGAATTTTAGGTTTGTGAATTTTATCAACAAGCAATGAAGAGTGAAGCGGCATAAACTTTTGGTGCCAAATTAAGCCATTAGGCACTGTATAGTTCTTATTTCACGTGACATGTTAATTTATTATTCTGTACTTTAACTTTGCCAAGTGTAGACTTGTGCTTCTCGTTTTCTATCACTTCATAAAATCCACCGGAATTGCTCATAGCCTAATATGATCATGACTACAGCTTTTGTCAGCTTTCATGATCCTCTTATCCTCATTACCTTTTAAGTAGCGAAGTGCACATTCCTTCTTTTTTGAAATGTCCATATTTGACGGTTTCTGATCAGTTAGAACACGTTTGACTAACTGTATAATAACTTGGATTCGAAGTTTTTGCAGGCGAAGTCTGATTAGGTTGCCTTATTAGTTATCGAGCACTTAACACCATATAGAATTGAATCACTTAGCTCCGCCTTCATTAACTTTTAAACGACACACAAACTGTCACGTTAGATGGAACAGCTTGTGAAACTCAGGAAAGCAAAGAGCAGTGTACACTATTAGACATTACTTATGCAGGACACTTATAAAAAGTAGTCGCATTCCCGTTCTGTCGGATGCATATATCACCATCCAAATGGTTTAAAGTGGCATGAGACTGCAGAAAATTCCTCTCATGTGACGGGTAGAGCAGTCGACACAGACTTCATGGTAGTAGTCTAACAGGACAGGACTCTAAGCAAGCTGTGGAGATAGTCGTATATGGAGCATGCTAGCGCGAGTTGCCACGTCAATAGTGAAATGCCGAATGCCAGACATCAGCTTGTCTCCCAATTCACATCAAACCCAAACGAGGGAGTGTAAGCACACTATGAATAAACCTGACCCCTATACAAGTCGGTCAAGTTATCTGGTCAGACAGAAGGACGAGTGTGGCTATCGGTACTCACACTGAAAGCGAGGTTTGACATTAAGCCAGGCGAGAATTTTGAGGGTCCATAACGGTGGAAGTGGTCAGGTTATCGCCTATCTTTCAGCGAAGGAGGCAGAAAGTGCATAAATTCATGAGTTAATCTTTCATAATATTGTTTCTCGTGTTCACCCACTTCAATGTATTCAGCCATTTGGCACTGGCTTGAACAAATTGTTACTGAGGTACATCAGTTGTCGAGTCGATGTTCGGCAACGGTGCTCATGTCATACCGTGCTGTCATGCTCCCACCAGCGACCGCTGTTTCGGAGGCTCAGGCATTTTTGCCCTTTATTCAGACTTAAGTACAGAGAATTCCCATGAGGTGTTTTTATTAATAGCGTAGATTCAGAAATAACCTTCGGGCAATTAATTTTGTGCACATCGAACTTGAAAGGTTGTTCTTTAGTTGTTGATTATGGACAGTCCAAAATTTCTGCCATGTCGCCCATCAACAGATAAGTACTTTCTGTTGATGATGTGACCGAATAGATCAGGTAACATTTCACCTTTGCTAACTACAATGCGATGCTGCCTTCGCCTGCCCAGTATAAAACTGAAGCGTAGGAAGATGGTCCCACTATCTCCGTATGCAATGTAAGCTCATTAATATGAACTCTCACTGAGCCCGAACCAAGTCTAGAATTGTTTTATATGCATAGTATCTTACTTCTAGTCGTATTTAACTGCATATCGTGACAAATTCCATCTTTGAAAAGATGTCTTCCCCACATAATGTTGAAATGAGGCCATATATACTGGGCTGGATAGCGTGCGGCAGTGGTTTTGCTATCATACTTTTTATATGCCCTATACCAAGCTTCTTCAGAAGTGTATAGCACGTCTCAAGTATGAAAGGGAAAAGCGCACCGACGATTTAAAAGTGGGGGAAAGTCTGCAGAACTTTTCATAGTCAAAGCATAAGAATCAAATATTCTCAACATCAGGTTATCCATTATTCCTCATTCATGGGAATCTTCTTGTGGTTGGCTGCGGAGCAGTGATCCTCTCGCCTAAATTGGACTAAAAATATCAGCCAGAAAAATTGAAATATATCGACTGCATAGGAAGAGATATAGGTAAACAAAACTTTGACTGGGGCTTGCGACTGGCTTTCTACCTATGGCCTGCAGGTTGCACGTTTAGTTGTGCTAATAATCATTTGTTGTTAACGAATAGAATTAATTGTTTAAGTTGGAATAGCCGGTACGCCAAACTTCCTCCGTGATATTTGTTTAATGTGTCGAACAGCCACTACAACCGGTTAAACTTGACACCCGGACGCGCCGGCAAGGTCGTTTCCACAAACAGATCATCCTAGTACAAGACTTTGGCGTCTTATAATAAGTTGTATGTGTTACAAACGTTCCACCCCTGTTACAACTAACAGTGATCACTGCTGAATGGTTTCTATTAAGTCTGATTGCGTGAAATGCTATCTGGCTCATGCATGAATCTCTGTTTACAAGGCCATGCCAAAGGGCTTCCAACCTTAGTAATTTGTTTTCCAGAACTGCTGAGAACTCCAGCTTTAATTTTAAGTGTGGTGGGCTTCTGAGTTGAGTAGATAGTCTGAAGTTAGGTCATCCTATGTTTGTGATTTTGTTTTCCTGAACAAATTCTTGAAGGAGGGATGTTCTCAACTTTAATAGTTGTCTCATTTAAAATGTTTTCATTTAAACTCAAAGATTTGCTCAAAACATTAGCAATGACCTGACAGCCCTCTGTCTTCAAACAAAAACTAGACTTCATTGAATGTTGAAGTAAACTTAGGAAGGCGGTATATTTCAGATAAATGCTACGGTGCTTTCGTGTATTGGTTGTATTTTAGTGTTCCTATCTCCCTTTACCCAGTCTTCTGGAAATAAAAGTATAAAACCGTTACTATTTATGTTCTATTTCAGAAATATGTGATCACAAGCTCGATAAAAACTTTTGTCTTCACTACTTCCCGCAACGTGAAACTTTCAAAAATGCTCAGTCGGAGTGCCTTCGTTGGAACCTTTCTCTCGCGACTGTGCTGACAAACAGGCAACAGGAGTTCCTGATAAACGTTCAGAGAAACGTAGGCAACTGAGGGAATTTTTTTTGTCGGGAACGGCATTGTTCAATTATTAAGATTCCATTGCTTTATGAATTAATTTCTGTCAGCCGTTATACTCTTAGGTTGCCTGTAATTTTCACTGTACTGTTCGATACCTCCAGCAGTATCTTCAAAAATGTGGATATTGCAGGCTGATCATCCCCACAAACAACCCATACATACTCTTTCGAAGAAATTTTCTAATGACATGGGAAACTTTTGGGCAAAAAAACCAAAACTTTTGGAAATTCTAGGGCTCGCTATGGTTAATCTGAATTTTACCCCGAATTGCATATTTCTGTGAGATCTCTTCAGAATTCCCCCCAAATAATGCTTCCTCCACCATAACTTCCCCAGTACCGATCTCCCTCTCCTGGAATGTTCCAAGCGAACGCTGGATAATTTTAATTTTGATTGGTTGATAGAAGTTGGAAAATAGACTTATCTGAGATGATCATCTATTTGGTGGTATTAAACTACTGTATGAGAAGTGCCGATAATAGTGCTACAAAATGTTTTATAAGATTGTTGACTAAAGGAACTTAAACATATCCAGGCTGTTTACCGTAAAATGCATTTTAAGTTAAAACAAAGTACGTTTCAAAAAAACTAAGGCTGTCAAAACTCAGACATTACGTCAGCTTATGTAACCTTGTTATTTTGAGCCTTGTAAAAAGATGTATGCTTTCAGACTACGGTCGATGAAATAATCGAAATAGGTGATTACTGACCGCTTAATACGTCTTAAAATCAAAGCACAGATATATTTGCTTTTTTATATTTTTTTTATATTTCATATGATATGTATCCCGTCTCTTCCTTTTTGCACTTTTAATGACCATTTATACTGTTGCTTGCATTTGGAGATAGATACTAAGTATGTTTTGCATAAATTTCCGGTCGGTAGTTTCCATCTTAACGCTGTGGTCGAGGTTGCATACCACCATGACCAGAAAGGTCCTTTGGATATTTGTAAAACAGATCAGTTAGATTTCCAGTATGAATAGCTACACTATGGTAGGAGCCCGAGGGTGAGGTTATACTCCTGACTGCATTGGGCTGTGGCAGCAGTAGCGTTTAGTACGGATGACTTGTAGTCAATACTGACATTACCTTTTCTGTGGGGAAGAAAGGTTAGAAAAAGTCTGCTACAAAAGAGCAAGCTCTTTTTACCCCGTGGGATTCCGGCACAATCGGTATGAGTTCTTCAGGTGAACACAAGACAGCCAAAGTTCCACCTGAACATTCCAAAATGATCATGTGTGAAGGCTTGAAGCAGATGTCCCTTGGGCTAATCCAGTTCCTTTTCCAGTTATCACAAAAAGAAGGGAGTTTCCATGGCTTTGGCAACCGGGAAGTGTCATTTGTCCAGACAACTCAAGTTTCCTCGGATAATTTACAACCTTCTACATCATTTCAGATGCACATTGGTGAAAATTCCTGTTTGATTTCTTTTACCACAACAATTCGAGCCTGCGAAACAGAATTTCAGTTCGCTGAAACCGCAATTTAAACTACGTATAGCAACTTTCAATAGCCACGCTCTCTGTCAAACCAGACAGTCGTATTCACTTGCCAAACCTCTGGCATCCTGCTCCATTGACGTCTGCTGAGTTTGTGAGACATACATACAGGACATTCGTAAAAAACTATGGTCTGGATGTTTTTAATGTGTTTATTCACTTAACTTCACCTGGTCAGTTTGGTGAATCTGCAAAACTCAAACCTACAGCTTTTGGAGATTTGATGGCTAGTGCTCACAGTCTTTCAGGTGTAGGCATAGCACTTAGTATTAAGATAAAAGGTGCAGTGCTCGACTGCATCTCATTTGACAGTCTACTGGGCTCTGTTGAACTCAACATTGCATTGAGGACTGAAGAGAAGCACGAAACCCACCATTATCTCTTTATGATCTATGCTTACGCACCCACCACATAGTTCAGATGAAGTGGGAAATGAATTCTACCGAAAACTGTCTAGCCTTTTACTGAAGACCTAACGCTCAGATGTGGTTGTTGTAGCAGGTGATTTTAATGCACAAGTGTGTATGCCAAGTCAGATAGAGAGACACTTAGCTGACGCTTTCGGAATCTATTTCTAACCAACATGAATTTAAGGCAAATGGAAAGACATTGTCTGAAGTGGCTTCCACCAACCACAATTCAGCGATAGACACAGATAGATCACGGTGCTATGAGTTATCGTTGGAGAGAGTCGGTGGTAGATTGATCATCCTTCTGGAGCACATATTTGAACAGAGATCATACATTGCTTCAAGCATATATATGTCTGCGCCTAAATCGAAGTGAAAAACTACACCAGCAAGACCATTTCAAGCACAGCTTGACGATGAAAGTACAACGGCTGTTTCCAACAAGAAACTAGCTAGACAGGTATTGCATAGAAAAACTTCACTCATATGGAAGAAGCCTGGTGCCGTCTTCTGTCTGTTGTAAGAATGGTGTTCAAAACCGTAACTAACTCTCAGAAAGATGTTGGAAACGATCGGTGAATCTCAACAGTTTCTGAAAAAATGGTCGCATATAAACTTATGATTTGAACATGTTGCAAATACCTACTCACCCCCAAACTCGACATGTAATGTTAGTCGAGGCAGGGTTGGATGGGAAGGAGCTTCAGGTTCATCAGACAAAAGCGTGACACCAGTCCATGAAGACTCTGACCATTGCATTGAGCCATTTAGGGAGGTGTGGACTACCTGACTGGGGTCCGTCAGACCATAGGAACCGATGATTGAGGACTCTTGGTGAAATAACTGAGAATTGGACGCTATGGTGTAGACGTCTTCTAAAGCTTGAATATTTTCACTGGCCTTTAGCTTCAAATTGTTTATTCTCCCATGCACTTTTGTCTACTCTCATATCACTCTATTTCGACTCACTTGTTGCTTGAATGCTGTTGTGAAGTATAGCAACTTGAACCGACACACTTCTGTGCGAGGTTCGATGTTGACTCATGTGTCTGTGTGTCTACTTTGGGCCACAGGAGTGGACTCCAAAAGGGGCTGACTAATAGCTAAAACGCGAAGTAGAAAGTTGCCCACAGAATATGACGCATTCTTAATATTTCCCAAGTAGTGGTGGGTAGCGAAAGCGGTGAGATGGAGAAGGCATCAGCGTTAGGTAACACTTGGCAGCTTTTTAGGCTTATTAAGGATACTGGCAAGAAGAGGATAGTATGTGGGACCATCACCAAAAAGGATATGACGCTGATAACCTCCCTGGACATGCGGCTAGGACATTGGGGGAAGACACATTGAAGGACAGTTCAACTGACCCTCAGCAAAGCTACAGTTGCAAAACACCCATCCTGAGCCTGAATGGGATGGGTATGTCGGTCCCCCAACTCTCCTTGACGTTGAGAAGTCCGTATCGAACCTTAAACGATGCAAAGCGGCAGGATCTGACAATCTTCAAGAATGGAGATAGGAAATTGGTGATTTGAGTGAAGGAGGTACTGCGTTGTATATAAGAATCAGAGTTAGTGCCGTAAGACTGGTCTACGTCACTGATCATCTCAGTCTATAAAGCGGAGAGAAGTCTTCCCGTGACAATCATTAGGGAATTAGTTTAACTAATATTGTATCCAAGACCCTGGGTTCCATAGTAATCCGACGCCTAACTAGAGCTCAAGAAAACCAGGTATGTTTCAGACGTAGACCAGGGTGCATCGGTCATACTTTTACCCTCAGACAGGTCCTGGAACACAGGCATTCTTATTGGTGACCGAAACTTGCCACAATTCTTAATGTGATAGTGGCATTTGATTCTCTCAACCGTGAGGTGTAGTGGCAGTGTCTGACTGTGAAAGGAGTACCGTGAAACTATATAACGCTAATCAAAGCTCTCTACTGTAACTTGCGCAGCTAGTGGAGAGTTGTCATGTGAATTGACGACAACCAGTGGTATTCACCAGGGATACCCACTGTCATCGTTCTTTTTTAACTTCGTTATAGACGTTCTAACGGACATAACCTTAGGTACGTCTGACTTCACAGGGATTGACCTACTACCTAGAAATCACCTGGTTGACTTGGAGTATGCAGACAACATTGTCCTACTCAGTGAAAATGCTGACAAAATGCAGGGTCTTCTCGATGCGTTGATCAGAAGTCTGAGTATGTTGGGCTGGCATGCGTCCCGCTGGCGTCTGTCAAATGTAGGATGCTGCTGGAGGACTGATCTGCAACTACTCCCAGTTTAATGATGACGAGTGAAGTGTTGGAATGTGTCGACGACTTCATTTACTTGGGGAGTTGCATCAGCTCGACAGGTCTGACTGCTGACGAAATCTCAGCTCGGATGTAGAAGGCCCGTCTGGCATTCGCCAACTGGTGTCATCTATCTCCGCCACCCATTGGTCAGATAGACATCCAACTATCCGACTATCTATCAAAGGACAAGTATACTGAGCTCCAGTCCGTTCTGTCCTGTTATACGGCTGTGAGACATGGCCGTTGAACGCAGAAGAGAGGCTTTTGATGACAGACGTCTTGGTAACATTGCTGTCGTTTGGTGGAATCAGTGTGTGAGCAATGTTGAAGTCAGGCGAAGGGTTCTAGACACATCGATTGGTGAGGTTGTCAACCGAACCTGAAATCGATTGGATTAGATTGGATTGAATATGACATGTACTGAGCACGCCGAGCCACTGCCTACCTCGATGTGCCATGCTAAGGCAAGTTGGATTAGGTTGGAAGAGTGAGTGTTCAGGGTGGCTAGACCAAGCAAGACCTGACACCAGTCGCTGAAGTCTCTCACTGTTGATTTGAGTCGTGTGGGGTGGTGTGGACTGGCTGGTTGTGGTCGCCGAGACAAGACGAGACGAGATGAAAGGAATCACCAGTGGTTGAGGGTTGACTTTCGGTGACATGGCTTTGTACTAATATTTAAAATGATTTAAAATATTTGGTTCACTTTTCGGAATCCTTATCTTGTTGGGTTTCATATTGAATTTTGACGTTACAAAAGTAGTAAATAAATTCATTAATTTTTTGTTTGCCCACAGTCTGAAAATCCGATACGTGAGCTATGGATTGGTTTGTATATTGGACACGACAATTTATTTTGGGCATCTAAATATCCTGCTATCCCACAGATATTCATTTCTGAACAACCAAAAACGTTTGAAGGATGTGCTATGTCTAATGCATGTAAGTTACAAAGTTGATAGAAAAGATTTTGGACTGCAGTTATGTTTTGTTGTAATTTTGCACTTTATAAACTATTTATCGTTCATGACATTGAATGAGGCTGTATGTCAGTGGTATGAACACTTGAACATCAGCCAGATGATAATATTGTCGGGCTCACACTGTTCATTTTCACTTCCGCAATCTGTTGGTCAACTGTTATATTTTGTGGTTCATGGATTAGCACAGGAACCTGTACAGAGTTTGTTAGTTGTGTTTTATACCCTATTTATAACATAGGTTTGGCATTGGTTCACGTGAAATTACTTTCTAATTACAGCTTCTGGAAGTATTTCGACTTGGAAGTTTATTCCATGCGATACAAAGCTTAGCTTTGTTTGTGCTGCTGTTCCTCAAGTATTCTACCGACATCCCTTTGCTGACCAGAAGACCTTCAGCTGTCCTTCTGGTTACAAATTGTTTGATAAAAATTGCTATATGGTAAGTCGTTTCTTTCTCGATGTTTCTCCGTCATTCGTTTCTGAAATTTTAGTAAATTTCAAATTTGTACGAAATATATGTGGTAATTGTATACTTGCCTATCACGTATTGATAAGTTTGGATTAATTAGTTTCCTAATCGTTAGATAGTCATGTGCTAGAATTCGTTGGCTTATGAACAGTTTTCCACCTGTGAATAGATACTGTTTCCGAAACAGGTGTTCCTTGGCGTAGTACATGAACACCTGTATCTGGTTAGGGTGGGATTGACATTTCTTATTTTGTGATGCAACAGTTGATAAGTTTTCAATGATGTTCAAAATCTCCGTGATTAACTTGATTTTCTTGTAGATAATAATCATCTTAACTTATCAGTTTTTCTTACGTCCCTTGTATTTTCTCTTGGTAGATTCCCAGAGTTTTATGTCATTGCGCGTACTGTTCGAAAGAGTTACAACTTAAACTTATGAACTGTTGGGCCGGGCTTTATTTTGACTCATCAAATAATTGAATTTGCTAGTTCATAAGCATTCGTATTACTGTTTGTCTCCGTTGTGATACTTTAGATTTAAGACTTAGGCGCCCAGCAGTTATTGAAGCGCATATTTTCACTTCATAAGCATACATTGATTCGAAAAGCTAATTAATGTTTTCACCCTTGACAAAGTGTGTTACGCAAATTGATAAATAAATTGGCATGAGTTTAAGATAAAGTTCCTAGATTTTGTGCGTATGAAGATCAATCGCCAAACATTTCCGCCTAAATGTATATTATTTCCTCGCGGTGTTTGTTTTGAGTTGTGTTGTAGACTTGAGAATTTCACTTTTAAGTTGGACTTGAAACTAAATATCTGGTTGCCGAAATTACAAAATAGATGATTTTGTTGCAAATTCTTTGTCACTACCTTTCAGCTTAATGAAGACCCCTCTCATAGATTAACATGGGAAGAAGCTAATAAACAATGTAAAACTTCAGATACTACATCATCTCTTGCCACCATTGCATCTCCTATGGAACAAGGTTGGTTTAAGCATACTTTTTTGTTTCATGATCACTCATCTGTTCATTGAAACATCAGATTAACAATACAGCTTACTTTTCATTAATGGATTGCAGATATCAGTATGTTTAACTATAGGAAATAAACATTGTTAGATAAGCTGAGTATTAATGCCTAACTTATTGTTATTTTGTGTTTTGAAGCTATGAATAGTACTAAATTACCTCGGGAATTTCAGAGAACCAAATTCACTGCCTTAATAGTTAGCGAGTTCTGTGTGTTGTTAACTGAATAAAATGACCACCAGAAGTATGTGATTTTTCGAATTTATTTATTTACCATCACATTATGAAATACGAAATTTATTACACTGATATTTTCTCATTAAATCATTTCAAATTAGGACTAATTGCTTGTGATACATAAGTTATAAATGACAAACATTAGACACTACGATTCTTCCGGTGGAGAACCTTACATGGATTGAAAGGTTGAATCATGCATATTTACTTGACTGGAGGATCATTTGGGACCAATTATCTTAAACGCTAATACACACCCTGATAAGACTAACAAGATTTAACAATGTTTTCAGATTGATTCAATCGAAAGTGTATCTTCATCCCAATGACTGTAGAAGTACCTCTCATAAATTTGTTATCAGCTGTATTCTCTGCTCGTGTAATGACTTTCTTAACGGTTGACACTGCATATATAGCCAATTTAAACCAACTTTCAATTCGCAGGTGATTTTTGTCATTCTTAAAGTATCAGTTAGAAGATTATCGGAAATTAAATTATATTCAACATCTGATTCATCATATCTTATCGTTTTGAAGGGAGCGTAACCCTTCAAATTAAGAGGCTTTCCAGCAGGAGATATAACTGTGTGATATCGAAGGGTTACATAATTGCACAGGATATATTAGCTCTCAATGGCTAATTTAGTTGCAAACCGTTCCTGTCGATAGTGCCTTTCGAATTTGTAGAGAGTCTGGATTTTTTAGGTTTCAAAATATTCGATATATTTGAAAACGATATGCTAGTTGCAATATAATTCAAATTGTGGTTTTTGCAAGAAATTATTACTGTACTCTTATAGATGCCTTGTCGGTGCTCATCGCTCGTTCTCCTTATCCAGTATGGATCGGCATGTTTCTCCATCAGGATGAACGTAAATGGATTAAAGGTGATGCTATCAATTTTACGAATTGGTATCCTAAACAAATACGGGGTATTGATAAGGTAGAGAAATATTTTTTCCTGATCAGCTAATTGATTTTCCTGTATGTAACCTGTGAAGTAACGTTTTTGCATTCCCACTTTTAGCCATTAAGCTTGATTGAATTGAACACAAAGGGTCTAAAGCTGAAATGTCTGTATCACCTTTCCATAACAAATTTTTTGCTAAAGATGAGTTTAATCAATTAGAATTTTGTATGTAGACATTACTCTGAAAAACTGTATTACTAAACAGAAAGGTTATAAAAGTGAACACAACGTTTAATGATCAATACGAAATCGAAACCCAGTTGAACTTTAATTTTACTGTAGCTTATTGGTGTAGACACGTTACTTTCGGTCACTAGGTCACGGGTTTGAATTCTTCCTTTCCTACTGAAGCTTGGAGAGCTAAGTAGTGTCACAAGCCACTACACGATAGATTTAACTCATAGCCTAATTCGCAAATATACATATGGTTGATGAATCGCATCAAATCAACTAAGATAGATCTTTCTTGTTTCAGTCGCAGCCATCACTTTTGTGATGTAGGATTCTGAAGGTCATTCACGAGTGTAGTAATAAATCCAAAAGGATTTCAATGTTCTGAATAATTATACTGTTTGCTCACATGAATAAACTTATTAACAGGACGCATGAAATGCTTTTCATGGTATGTATTAATCTTCACTACATACATAGTGATCTGTAATCTGTGGGGCAGATGCTTAATGCATGGGACTCAGCATGAGACAAATCAGAAATGTATACTCAGTTTTGAACTATTATTTAGTAAGAAAATGGTTTCTGTTGTAGTACTTCTCTTAAATATTTCTTCTACCAATTGTTCAAAAGACATTTTCTCTTTATATCCTTGCATATAACTAATAAGGGTAGACGCATAAGTTTTCTTTTTTAAATATAGTCACAAAATATAGCATCATTTCAGCGGAGAAAAATTTCTTTTTCGACGATATCCATCATTTATTCAAAACAGTAATAGGAATTATGTAATTGTTTATACTTCTGTTTTGAGTCACTATGCTGTCACACTTTTTCACCTTTCGTTACTTACCTATCTGAACACTTTTATGTAACTTTTAGATTTGGCATGTATCCATGTTAAAGTTTGCCTCAAAAAGTACGTTATATTTCCTTTTGCTGATTCCAGCCATTATGCACAATGATGCACCAACGACCACGACATCTTGGACAGTGGGAAGAAGTAAATTGTTCTCTGCCCTTAAATTATGTTTGTCAAGTTGCAGCTAAACGTGAGTATATCTGACTCCCTATATTGTATATAAAAAGCATGTCACTCGTTTACACGGTCATGAATATCGTTATCAACACTTTTATCAAGAAAGGTTACTTGCTATTAGAAGTGTGTATTCCAGTCACATTGCAACTTCACTGTATTAATGGTTTAAAATTAGTATGAATCATCTACAAAGTAGTTGACTGCTGATTGAATTCCCTGGGATACCATTAGATATTAGTTTTCAGCCTCGTTTTGTCAGAAAACAGATGACGTTCAGGCAATTCAAAGCTGCGCATGGTAATGCATTCCTTCAAGTCGATAAACTAAGCACACCTTATTCGTTGATTTAATTTAATCCTAGTGTTCAAAATATAAATTTTACTACCACTCGCCTATCAACGATTGGAGCGGAATTATGCGATTTTGTTCTCTTCTCTTATCAGCGAATAAAATTTGAGACAATCCTAATAAGAAAATATTGTATTTCCTCGAATACCATCACATTTCTCAGATAACCTCCGTTTTCTTATTACATTATATAAATTCATCAAAGAGATTAATTGTTTCACAATCTTAATAATTTCAATCTTTTCAATAGCAAAATACTGACTTCAAAGGAAGTGAACATTCATTTGGTAGTTAAAAAAAAAATAGGAACAAGTAGTCGAAGTGGTAAAACAACACTAGTAAGTTTTCTCACTCATGGGAAAGAAGAATAGTGCATAATCAAGAAAGAAAGCAACACAGGTAAAGACTGATGAAAGTGCTTATTGGAAATTTACACTGAGTCTTGATGGGATTTTAATACCTTACATTGAACACAGTCCATGCAAACGGTCTTTGCATTCTGCATTCGAGATGAGCTGATCCTCAGTTTCTGTTGCGTTTCCAGTTGTTTTTTTGTATTTCCCTCCCATGTTTCTCATTTTTCCCTTCAAAACATCTATCGTTTGGAACACAAGTGTAATTGCTTTTCCTAAAAACATCGTACTGTTTACCACCTATATGGGTTCGTATAAGCAGCACACACTACATTTATCCCATATTGAAGGTTTCGCAGCTGTTCTAATATCCTCAGAGCTGTTGTCTCTCTATGTCTGTCTCGAATTTCCCACACAATTGAACCCATTTTTTGAGTTGACTGGCACTCACATTTCCATTTGTCTCATGTGCAGATTAGGAAATCCCCACGGCGGCTCTCGGTAAGACAGCGTATGGTCTTTCTAACTTTGGAGGCAGCGTTCCTAATCCTCACTCACCTCTTATAGTGTGTTTCGGTTCTCTGTAATTCACTTGGTCCCCAACTTCGAAAGGTTTCTTCTTCTTTCACTGCGCCTGCTTTCTGTTTATCTCTTACATTCGTGATAGCTTGTTTCTGCTCAACCTCCAACCTCATTATACTCCATCTCTACTGCCGTGTACCTTAGTAGTCTTGGTTGTCTACCATACATCAGCTGGAAGGGTCACTTGTGTGGCATTACGAAGTGTTAGTAAAATTAAAGATAGTTCCACCTCCCAATTACCTCTTTTTGAGACCAGTCATTCATCTGGTACATACTGTTCCTTGTTGTCAAACCATTTTTCTGTTGGTGATGTAGCGTTATTCTTATCCCCTCGACATTTGTCCATTCCAGACGAGATTTAAACTCGTCATTGTCGAAACAGGAGCCCTGATTTGGCAGTATTACCTTTTTTCACCCCGTGTGTATATATATATATATATATATATATATATATATATATATATATATATATATATATATATATATAGATGAAATACACCTAGGAGGATATAAGAGAACAATAATTATTTCAGCAAAGAGTCTCTTCCATTAATATCCACTAGTCATCAGTTTTTGCTTTTTAGATGTTAATGACAGCTCATTTATTGACACTATTTGTGTTGCCATCCTTGACGAACCGTTTTTAACTATCAAATCCATACACTAGGAAAATGTAAAACTTCATGATTGTATAGCTTTGAAAATGAAATCACCGAAAAGATGCACTCCCTAATCTGTATGCTGGGTCACCACTTCACGTACCATCTTTGCGCGTTAATCTGCAATCTACATGGTGTCTGCCCAACTTTAAACATATTCTATCATTACTTGCAAGTATTGGTTGACGCCAGGAGTTTGTGAAAATGGTTATATCATATCTATTAACCATAGATCACAAACTGATGTTATTGCACTGCTGTTACAAGCACCAACCACTGCTCACCAATCGACAATGCGAACAGGCAAGTAATTGACAGACAGAATCAACATAAAATTTCACACACACATGCATCGACTCAACTTGCCACACTTTACAGTAGTACACAAAGAACAGGTGGATAGACAAGACAAACAGTAATCTCAAAGATAAAGTGGTGTCGTGTCAGAGAATAAACCGTCTGAAGATAAGGGTTAGTGCTAATATTCACTCTTTAGAAGATGTCAAGGAGTGAATACATCTGCACCATTGTCATCGATTCTCAGTCATGTCACCGACAGTCAACCCTCAACCACTGGTGATTCCTTTCATCTCGTCTCGTCTTGTCTCGGCGACCACAACCAGCCAGTCCACACCACCCCACACGACTCAAATCAACAGTGAGAGACTTCAGCGACTGGTGTCAGGTCTTGCTTGGTCTAGCCACCCTGAACACTCACTCTTCCAACCTAATCCAACTTGCCTTAGCATGGCACATCGAGGTAGGCAGTGGCTCGGCGTGCTCAGTACATGTCATATTCAATCCAATCTAATCCAATCGATTTCAGGTTCGGTTGACAACCTCACCAATCGATGTGTCTAGAACCCTTCGCCTGACTTCAACATTGCTCACACACTGATTCCACCAAACGACAGCAATGTTACCAAGACGTCTGTCATCAAAAGCCTCTCTTCTGCGTTCAACGGCCATGTCTCACAGCCGTATAACAGGACAGAACGGACTGGAGCTCAGTATACTTGTCCTTTGATAGATAGTCGGATAGTTGGATGTCTATCTGACCAATGGGTAGCGGAGATAGATGACACCAGTTGGCGAATGCCAGACGGGCCTTCTACATCCGAGCTGAGATTTCGTCAGCAGTCAGACCTGTCGAGCTGATGCAACTCCCCAAGTAAATGAAGTCGTCGACACATTCCAACACTTCACTCGTCATCATTAAACTGGGAGTAGTTGCAGATCAGTCCTCCAGCAGCATCCTACATTTGACAGACGCCAGCGGGACGCATGCCAGCCCAACATACTCAGACTTCTGATCAACGCATCGAGAAGACCCTGCATTTTGTCAGCATTTTCACTGAGTAGGACAATGTTGTCTGCATACTCCAAGTCAACCAGGTGATTTCTAGGTAGTAGGTCAATCCCTGTGAAGTCAGACGTACCTAAGGTTATGTCCGTTAGAACGTCTATAACGAAGTTAAAAAAGAACGATGACAGTGGGTATCCCTGGTGAATACCACTGGTTGTCGTCAATTCACATGACAACTCTCCACTAGCTGCGCAAGTTACAGTAGAGAGCTTTGATTAGCGTTATATAGTTTCACGGTACTCCTTTCACAGTCAGACACTGCCACTACACCTCACGGTTGAGAGAATCAAATGCCACTATCACATTAAGAATTGTGGCAAGTTTCGGTCACCAATAAGAATGCCTGTGTTCCAGGACCTGTCTGAGGGTAAAAGTATGACCGATGCACCCTGGTCTACGTCTGAAACATACCTGGTTTTCTTGAGCTCTAGTTAGGCGTCGGATTACTATGGAACCCAGGGTCTTGGATACAATATTAGTTAAACTAATTCCCTAATGATTGTCACGGGAAGACTTCTCTCCCGCTTTATAGACTGAGATGATCAGTGACGTAGACCAGTCTTACGGCACTAACTCTGATTCTTATATACAACGCAGTACCTCCTTCACTCAAATCACCAATTTCCTATCTCCATTCTTGAAGATTGTCAGATCCTGCCGCTTTGCATCGTTTAAGGTTCGATACGGACTTCTCAACGTCAAGGAGAGTTGGGGGACCGACATACCCATCCCATTCAGGCTCAGGATGGGTGTTTTGCAACTGTAGCTTTGCTGAGGGTCAGTTGAACTGTCCTTCAATGTGTCTTCCCCCAATGTCCTAGCCGCATGTCCAGGGAGGTTATCAGCGTCATATCCTTTTTGGTGATGGTCCCACATACTATCCTCTTCTTGCCAGTATCCTTAATAAGCCTAAAAAGCTGCCAAGTGTTACCTAACGCTGATGCCTTCTCCATCTCACCGCTTTCGCTACCCACCACTACTTGGGAAATATTAAGAATGCGTCATATTCTGTGGGCAACTTTCTACTTCGCGTTTTAGCTATTAGTCAGCCCCTTTTGGAGTCCACTCCTGTGGCCCAAAGTAGACACACAGACACATGAGTCAACATCGAACCTCGCACAGAAGTGTGTCGGTTCAAGTTGCTATACTTCACAACAGCATTCAAGCAACAAGTGAGTCGAAATAGAGTGATATGAGAGTAGACAAAAGTGCATGGGAGAATAAACAATTTGAAGCTAAAGGCCAGTGAAAATATTCAAGCTTTAGAAGACGTCTACACCATAGCGTCCAATTCTCAGTTATTTCACCAAGAGTCCTCAATCATCGGTTCCTATGGTCTGACGGACCCAGTCAGGTAGTCCACACCTCCCTAAATGGCTCAATGCAATGGTCAGAGTCTTCATGAACTGGTGTCACGCTTTTGTCTGATGAACCTGAAGCTCCTTCCCATCCAACCCTGCCTCGACTAACATTACATGTCGAGTTTGGGGGTGAGTAGGTATTTGCAACAGGTTGAAAGGATCTTATCATCAAATTTTGCCACATCCTCTTTTGACTTTTGTCCTTATTGTGGAACTGTGTCTTATCGTTTTAAAGAGATGACTTTTAACCTACAAGTGACTGTTTCGGATTCCGCTACCCCCACCGAGGTTTGGGCATCAAGAGTATCATTAACGTTCATACAATGGGTGTGGCTTGTTACTTA